GCTGGCTAATTTTTTAAAAGGGTACAAATATGTAAATGTATAAACAAAACTGTTGATGGTGTGAGGGAGCAAGTCAGATTCTTGATGGGGTTATACTCCTGAACATGAACATATATAGAGTCACAATGTCTTGCATCGCATTCAAATATCTTATAACAACAAGATAGCGCTCTGAATTTTAGTGTGCAAATTCTGTAACAACACATTGTAGGGAGCCCTCTCGCAAAAATAATTACTTTTCAACTTTGACATCAAAGATCGTTAACTAAAGATTGTTCATCCCGCAATTTCTGCATGCAAATTGTGTAACAACTAGGATGCCCTCTCAAAAATGATTACTTTTTTTGCTTCTTTTTACTAAACATCAACACTTCTATCTGTTACACAAAAGTCGTGGAGAGCACTTTCTTGTAATTATGTGATCTTTGTATCACATTCTCCATAGTATATATCAGCCTATGTAAAACATATCAGTTGACCATATTATTGAAGTGTTGTATAATTTATTATTTAAGAGTTTTGTGTTAGTGCTGTAATTCTGAAAACACTGCCTTAGCATGTGCAGCCTGTCCAAAAATTATATACAGTAATTTCTGTCTATTTGTACCAATTATTTAAAGGCATCTACATTTTGTTTTGTGGTGCTTCTTACCTTCCTAATATGTCTTGGATTTTATATTTTGTACTCTACCAGGGGAAGAGGGGTAAGCCAGGTGTAGATGGAGAGCAGGGAGATTTTGGTGAAAAGGGTGAGCAAGGTTTGCCTGGTCAGACTGGCCGTGATGGACGCAGTGTAAGTTGAATTCCACATTTTTTTTGCAGCAAATTGTTTCATACATTTATTTATAACATAAACCATGAGATTCTTTTAAAAAAACTAAATTATGGTATCAGAAGCTTTTAACTTCAATTAATAAAAAGCTACCTTATCAACAGACAACAACTCACTGCAACTCATGCAATTCCACAACAAAAACTACCTCTGGTGTACCACAGGGGGTCCAAATTGGAACCATTATTGTTCCTGATTTATGTTAATGACATACCCAACGCATCCAAATTTTTATATTTTATTTTTTTTGCAGATGACAAATATTTTTTACTCGCATAACAAAAAGTCATTATTTAGAACTGTTAATGATGAGCTTATTAAAGTTACAAATTGGTTTAAATTAAACAAGCTCTCTCATAATTTTTCAAAAACAAACTATGTTCTGATCAGTTATAAAATAAAAGCTTCTATTAATGATCATATATCACAAAACTGGCCTTATGAATAAACACAAATACACACTTACTTATATAACCTTGTATAATACCTTAGATTTACCGTATATTTCATATTGTAATTTAATTTTGGCCGTAGCTATCGATAAATTTTAAACCTTACGTCCATGGACAAGCCTTGAATCTACACATATTGATCACCTGTTCAAATTGTTAAAGAGAGCCTTAAGAATTTGTGATTGTTCATCATTTCTATCTCACACCAAATCTTTGTTTATAAGTTTGATGTTCTGAACATCTACAATATTGATAAACTTCAAATGGCTCTATTTATGTATCGTATTCACAATTTAATTATTCACTCTCATATTTCTTCTTTATTTGTTAAATCATCTGACAGTCATGCATTGAACACTAGACATGCAGATAATTACTTAACTGAAACTTTCACAACAAATCTTTGATGCAATTCAGCTTTATATACTGGTCAAAAACTTTGGAATTCTCTCGATCACAAACCATTCATTGCAAATTTTAAATCTAATCTAAATAAGTCTCTGCTCTTTACATATTATGGTGAGTAATTGCCAGACATGTGCAATCGCCTGGTTGCATTGTATTCCATTCCATATAGTATATGTCTACTTTTATTTATTTATTTATTGATTTATGTATTTATTTACTAATTTATTCCTATTTTTATCAGTATGTATTTTAAATATATTTTTTTTAATTATAATGTTGTAAATGGAGGTCGGCCTTAAAGTTCTGTGAACTTATTTGACCTCCATCCACACCCATGTTTGTTTTAATCTTATTTAAGTTATTTTGTCTATATTGTATATGATTTGATGTGTGTGGAAAATCAAATAAACAAACAAACAAATGATATTGAATCTTGAAATTAACCAAGCAGAAACCTCAGTTTAATTTAAAAGTAAATATCTTATGTAATTGACTTATTGTATTGGACAATAATCATTTAATTAATATAATATTGAGTGAATATTGTCTATATTTATTGATAGATTTGTAATACAGGGTGCAAGATAAAAAATGTGAGCCATTAACATAATGTGTTACTTGTTTTTTTTTTTTTTTGAAGGGGGAAAAAGGACAAAAAGGAGATAGAGGGCGTATAGGTTTTCAAGGACCCCCGGTAAGTAATTATTTTATACACATAAATTTGAAATATATAATTTATAACTGATCGAAATTTTGATTGTTTTAACTTAATAATTATTTAGTTATCATTCAACGGTGGAAAGCTTGCAACTCCAAAATAGACTACTGCAGGTACAATGAAAAAGCAATAGGAATGTTAAAATTAATTTACGTTAAACTTAACAAAAAATTGATCAATAGGATAGGAAGGTCTTTCTCAACACAAAAACTAAAAATATATATTGGACATAATACCATTTCTAGTAGCATTGACTCTATAGAACATTCAATAATGCTATTATTTTATTGCTAAAAATTTATATATTGATATGAAAACAAAGGGAGAAGTAATTGTTGTGAACGCCAGCTACAAGGCTGAGAAAGGTGAAAGGGGACCACAGGGGCGTGAAGGAGAAGCTGGATTTCCGGGGCAGCCTGGAGACGAAGGAATAAGAGGTATATTTCATTTCATATTTTAATTATAATCGAATGTTGCATTAAATGGTTCCATTACCACAGACTGGTACAGCTCTTTGAGGATGGTAATTACAATGAAACATCTCCACCTCTGCTAGTATACTGGAAACTACATACAATTAATCAAAGATCTTTCAATGTAGATTCTACCATCAAAGACCTAGAGCTCTGTGAGGATGGTAGCTACAGTGCTACAATGAAACATTTCCACCTGTACTGGTATACTGGAAACTGCAATAGATCAGATATCTTACATTGTAGATTCCGCCATCAGAGACCCAGAGCTCTGACCTCAGGTCAAACATGACTACATCCCTAACAAAGGTTACTAAACTAGCTACATGTATATATAGGGTTGTCAATACCGTGCGAATAACTTGGACGGTAGTTTACATGTATATTTTAATTAAACAACACCGGCAAATTTATGTTAATATTAATATCTAAATTAAGCAAGCATCAGTTTTGTGTTAAATTTAAAAAGTAAACAAGAAATTATCCCCCATAATTTTCCTCTCGCCTACATTGTATGATCGCTAAATCTCGCGCCATTATTGTTAAACCATTTCGGTGTTTACATACATCTGGCCAGTTGCTGGCGGTGCACTCCACTTGTAGGCAAAAGATTCGCCATTGCCAAGTATAGGACAAATACCCAAGAAATCAGGATACTGATTATCTTTTAGTCTATTTTGTGAATACTTACCTGGATAACTGACTAATTGCCATTGTTCCCAAAACGGAACACCCCTTCGAAAAAAAAATGGAACAGTCCGGCCCAAGGCGCCACGTGCGAACCGTCTCCCTAACAAACGTCCTCATTCCCTTTTCGACGTTGTTCGAAGTTGGATACACCCAGCCTTTGAAATTACTAGCAGTCTTTTCAAGCTATTCTGTTCTTATTTTGCCTTGGATTTATTTTCAACTTGACAAGATATCCTTTGTTTATTGTAGTCTCGATTGGCATGTCCGCTCGCAAGTCTTTGTGCTCGGCGTGTGGTGGCCCTAAACTGAGTGTTAAGCTCGACCGGCACTCGGAGTGCCCGTTGTGTCGCTCGTGTAGCAAGGCTGAGCCTTGCGAGATTTGTGCGCGCTGGCCCCCGACTAAGTTTGCAGCGGCTCTAGATTGGGCAGCTCAGGCTGCCACTCGATCTCAGGGTTTGCTGCCGGCTGCGTCAGGGGTTGTTGCGGCGCCGGATGACTCGCCTCCACCGCTGGAGGATTCGTCGGCTTCGCGTTCGGCGGGTCCTTCCCCTCCGCTGGATCCGGTGTGGTTTCGTTGATTTCGGAGCAGGTTGGCCGGGTGGCTCTGGAGGTTTTCGCCGGAATGCGGGCCGCTTCGGCGGTTTCGGATCCTCCGGTTTCTGCCCCTCCTGTCCCTGGGGATGGGTTCCGGGTGGCCGGATAATCAGGATACTGATTATCTTTTATTTTGTTGTGCCAAATATGCGAAAGCTACATGGATGAAATTCACATATGGCGTAGTTATATATATTAGGAATCAACAAAAAAAAAATAAGCATTTTAAGTCAATTATTAAAGTAATTTTCCTCTTATCTCCTCGGTGTTGCAAGTGCAAGCGCACTAGACCAAGAAAGTAAATTAGTGGGGCACCTCCGCCGACATGAAGGGCCTCAAAGAAGCCTATGAATTTTCTGTTTACCACTCGGTGAATGAATGGAATAATTACTCGGCAAATAATCATTACAGAAACTTTTTGTAAACATTATAGTTGCCTAAAAGTAATTTTAAATGGATTGCATATATATCCGAATTAACTGTCGGATATATGGATGAAATGGATTAGTTGCCTAAAAGTAATTTTAAATGGATTGCATATATATCCGACTTAACTGTCGGATATATGGATGAAATGTCAGCGTCCATTGGGCAACAGTCTGTGCTAGCGTCGTGTAATGAAACTTTCGCTTTCTTTAAGCGAGTAATGCAGAGCGGGCTACTGTATCATTAATGCTCACATTTCTTTCTTTTCTTCATGTTTAATGTTACTGTCAGCATCCACTGGGCAACAGTGTAATGAAGCTTTCACTTTCTTTAAGCGAGTGGGCTACTGTATTATTGATGCTTATGTTTCTTTTCTTTATGTTTTAGTGATTTATTCATTACTCAATATTATTTATATTCAATAATGTCTTTAAAAAGGTCTACCTGGAGCTATTGGAAATGTTGGACCTAGGGGTGATCCCGGTCAAAAGGGAGAGCCAGGCCTAATTGGTGTTGGACAAAAGGGAGAGCCTGGACGGCCAGGTCAGTAAACAGATGTATATTAATAGTTAATAGTTTTTAAAATAGAAACGACCAACAATATTTAGACAGAAATTCTTGTATTTATATGTGATATCCATGTAATGTAGGTGTATAACAGCCAATTCCATGTTAATTACATTTTCAACAACATGTGGTTTTTAAAGAGTAATATTTGGTTCCTATGCATAGCAGCAGAGGAAGCATTGTATTGCCTTGATATATTTAGTGTAATGTGTGTATGTGGAGTTTTAAACAAGTAATCTCAAGTAATTCTGGGCATGTCAAATTCGAGTTCAATCCAAGAAGAGGATTTGTAGTTGACTTTACAGTATCCACTGCTAGTTTCTACGGCACCATTTTCAGATTAATTGTTGTAATAATATTTTTGGTATCATTTTTAGATTACCTAGTGTCATAATATATTCAAGTGATTTGAATTGATTAACCTTCATTCCAAATTGTTGTTTTATGCTAGGTCTTGATGGAATGGATGGTATGCCAGGATTTTGGTATCATTTTTATATTACCTAGTGTCATAATATATTCAAGTGATTTGAATTGATTAACCTTCATTCCAAATTGTTGTTTTATGCTAGGTCTTGATGGAATGGATGGTATGCCAGGACCAATTGGAGACAAAGGATTTCCAGGTGATAGAGGTAATCCAGGAGTTCCTGGCATATCCATGAAAGGAGACAAAGGTATGGATGGAGCTATTGGCCAACCTGGAAACCCTGGTCCAAGAGGACCCAGAGGACCATCGGGAGATATTGGTATGTGTATTTATAGTAACCATGATCATGTTTGACAACTTTGGTCTTGAATGATAAATACGCCAACCTTTTATCTAAGATAACAATGATGACTACTAATAATGATAACAGTGGCTAAACCCGGGGACCTGCCGGTCATCGGCCAACGCGATTCAATGAAGAAAGCGACGATGTAACAGGTCATTTTTAATGATGATCCCATTCAGACTGACCCTGACAATCAGCAAACAGCTTTGCGCCGTCTACCGCTCGCAGGGCGCGGAGTTAATCGTCTTACGACAGAGTGAGTGCCAGGCTTGGGATGAGGACAGTGACAATCATGGTAAAAATTCAAATAAACATTGATTTCTTCAAGATGTTAAAAATTTAAAAAGATCTATACGAAATGTTGAAATGCAGAGATTTTATTAAATGGAAGAGGGCAGTGCTCTAAAAGGAATGCCAAGTCAAGAAAAAAAAAAGAATTTTCACATGACACTTGTAGCGAGTGTGCCCTGAATAATATCAAAATAATTATGCAATAATAATTTCCAAAAATAAACACAAAGAAAACAGACAAACACACACAAAACATAACAAAAGTACAGGGGAACAAAATAATGCAATTATTATATGATGTTGAGTAATAATAATGATTGTAAAAGTCAGCTAATTGTATTTTGATAAGAAAGTTTTTTGGCTTTACGAGATGATAATGATTTTGATGAGTCTCATGGTTTTGTGTTTTTCTAGGACCAAAGGGTGAGCCTGGTGACTACACAGGAGCAGTAGGGCCTAAAGGAAACCAGGGGTACAGAGGCCCACAAGGTGAACCTGGTGACCCTGGAGTAAGAGGACAAGATGGAAGCAAAGGTTCAGAAGGTTTGTATCGAATTTCAAAAATTTACATCTCGCTCTGCAAAATTTTATCATTATGGGAATATGTGGTGAGGTGTTTTTGATTGAATAGCAGAGGCAGGTTCAATGAGGCCCAGAACCCTTCCCCCAATTTAAAAAATAAAAAAAATTTAATTAAAGACGGTTGTTATTTTTATTGAATGCCTCGGGGTGTTTTTATTTACTTTAAATAGAATGTTGATAAAAAAAAAATTGCATTCAAATTTAGGTGCCAAAGTCAGGATTTTGTACAGGCTGAGGTAGTCTAGACCCCCACTTGCAAAATTCACAACCCAGTCCCCCTCAATTTTGAATTTTTGGATCCACCACTTACTTAGTATTTATTTATATATTAATCTCATTATTTAGGCATAAGGATATGACAATATTTTACATAAGGTGGAAATTACTGAATTTATTTTGGCAGGTCTAAAGGGAGAACCATGCGGCGGATGCAGTCCTGGAAATCCAGGTCCCAAGGGCAGTGATGGTATACAAGGCCCTCAGGGAAGAGTGGGTCCTCCTGGAGCAAAGGGAGAAGCAGGAGACATGGGGCCAAGAGGAGATCCTGGACCTGCTGGCCGTAATGGAGCTACTGGAAGTAAAGTAAGCATTGCATTTAATGATTAATTGAATTGATTGATTACAGTTTAATTGTTTGATTTTTATTATTTATTAATTGATTGATTGATTTGTTGTGTCATTAATTGATGTAGCGGAGCCTTTTACTCCCAAGGAATTAATCCTCAGAGACACCCAATTGGTTTTTCTAAGAAACAAATTGCTGTATTTCCTAAACTGGTCACTCACTGTGTCGTACTAATACAACTCCGTTCCCTGTGAATGAGAGACAACGCGACGCCATCTGCGGATTGTCAGTGGCAGGCTGAATGGATTGTCGTGGCATTTCGTCGGACACAGTGATTGCCCAACTTAAGCCTCAGAATCAGAATTGCATATCATTACCCTCGCCTCCCTGAAGGAAGAGTATTGCAATAGCATGCATCTGTGTGTCCTTCACTGGACCGATTAACTTTTTACTTACTACTTTCACACATTGACTTTAATACATGTATCCCAGTCCTTGAATTTGATGCTGATTGGAAGTAATATACAGATTTTAGAATGTTATTTATATATTTTTTCGGCCGCAACAGACAGAGCTGACTTAGTTGTTTGGCTAGGCCGAGCCGACTTGAGCGGATCAACCGCTGGCCAACTCGAGCGGATCAACCATAAGTCAAATTCTGTCCAGACAAATAGTCTTGCCACACAAGGCCTATAATGCTAGGTCTTGTTTGGCGGATTGACCACATGCTATTATTTTTTTAGTACATAAATATGGCGCAACAAGGTGAAGGTTTGTAATCTCAGATTATCTTGTTCCATGCTGAAATTAATAAATAAAGTAATTTTTTTTTTCAAATAAAAAATATGTATAATTATATATGAGATAAATAATTTATGAGCACATCTATATTAATAATTTATTAGTGATAATATATTTTTGAGAAAAAACATGCTTCGACCTCATCAAGATTCAGACCAAGACCTATGCTCAGGTATTAATATACACCTGCCTTCTATTTCCATCTACTGTTTGCACCTTCTATTTCCTAATTAGATTGAAAATAATTGTGTAATTTTTTTCTTTACCTACCTATGTTATATATAGGGTGATGTAGGTCCTCAAGGGGCAGCAGGAGCAGTTGGAAGTCGCGGTCGTACAGGAGCAAAAGGGGAACTGGGAAAACCAGGTCCTGCAGGAAATAGGGGGATGAAGGGTAGTGATGGTCAAAAGGGTGAAAAGGGATTACCAGGAGAGGCACCAAATCAATTTCTACAAGTAAGATAACTTAAGTCCATTTTTGTTTTTTTTTTCTCAAGAGGAATCGGAAATAATTGCCTGATAGCATAAAATGCCACTTTTTGAGGTTTAGTTAATAAATTTGATACTTTAAATTGTTAGAACACAGTATACTCTTGGCGAAAGAGTAAGGGATTGTCTCCCCATGTACTGCTCAATTCACTGCCAGAAGGATACCACTGGAAAGTCTTATGACTTTCATTGGTTATACTTGGTGTGAGTCGCACCAAAGAAATCAAACTTAATCCTTCATGGTATTGTATAATTTACTGTAGAGTATTGGGAATAATTTTGAGCTTTAAATAGAGTAGAGGGACATGGTAGGGGCCTAATGAATTAAAACAAACAGTATTGTTATATTTTAAGTCTCAATATTGGTTTAGCTCACAGGGTTTGGTTTACAAAATAATTAACGTTGCAGTGGTAAATCACAATCTTCACAAAAGTTTGTTTTTTGAGGGTATTTAAAAATAAAACAAATTTATGACACATTTTCATTAGAATATGTTTACAATATATGTTGCCTCTGAATTTGCTATATTTATTGTCTAATTTAATAAAGTTAATAAATTAATTTATTCATTTTAAAGGGTGAAAAAGGTAGTAAAGGTGATATGGGACCTCAAGGAAGTACAGGACCACCAGGATTAACAGGAAGAGTTGGGCCCCCAGGTATAGCAGGAGATCAAGGTTTTGGAGACCAGGGACAGAAAGGAGAATCAGGTGTAAAGGGATCTTTAGGACAAAAGGGTGATAGAGGTAACAACTTTATTCAGCAATGAAAGTACTATATTACTGCAGCCACCACTAGTATACCGACACATTCTTACTGTTAACGTGTTCATTGTCAGTTTTTCTTATTTTAATTGGCTTTTTATTTGTCTTTTTTTTATGTTTCTTATTATATATGATTGTAAGCTCACAGGTTTGCCCTCTGAGATTGATGTGAGTCTTTTTCAAGCTTCATACAATTATAACATGGAACTTGCCATGATATAACCAGCATCGGTGACCAAGACAAGAAAATTGACTATTTTAATATATTATTATTCATATTCTCCACACTATAAGTTTCAAAATGATAGGTCATTTATTGGTATCGACCTACTATTGCCAAAATTATGAGTAAAAGTATTATGGATTATCTCTTTACTATACTAAATATACAATACTCCCACATTCTTATACTAATTACTCAGTTTAACATCTAGCGACAGTACACTGGTTTTTGGATGGCATAGCCTCATATATTTAAATACTATTATTCTTTATTTGTACTGTGTATATGGTGATATGCAACAAACTGAATCTGAATCTTAAGCCCCTTTCAGATAGACGTTGCCGCAATATTGCAGTAAGCATGCCAGCATAATAGTCAGTCTATACACTTTCCCAAAGTGCCGCAATATTGCAGTAATCTTGCGCTTTTCTGTCGGAAAATATCTTAGAGAATGGCATAATATTGGTGGTTTTATATACCACTGCGCAGTTGTTTTCAACTTTAACCTTGTTTGTTTATGCATAAATGCACACGCCTGCTTGATTGCCGCAATATTGAGTAGAGCCTTTCAGACAGAGCAAACCAGTAACCGTTACCACAATATTGTGACAATATCACTAGAGTGCAAGCAGGCCTATAGTAAGCCGGCATATTGGCGTATTGACCCTTCTTGACAGAAACCCATGCTGGCGTGCTTACCACAATATTGCAGCTCTGTGTGAAAGGGCCTTTAGTTACTATTGTTTCTCAGCTGCCTCGTACAAGCTATGAGAGCAATAATCAGTTGTACAGTATGAGAATAAGTATGTGGAGGCTAGATCGGTGCATATATAATACAGCTTTCTATGTCTAGCGATATGATGCTCACCTCGATAGCAAGAAGTTCGAGCTCCCCCAGTGACAAAGGCCTACCATGAATTGATCAGCACAGCATTATATATAGAAACAGGAAAATCCATGTCGCGTATCAGATAATTAGTGTGTTTTTGTAAATTTCCTCTCATTTTTTGTACTAATAAGTTACTTTCTGTTGTATTCTGTTAGGATTCCCTGGTGAACGTGTAGTTGTAAAAGGATGTATTGCTGGCCAGAAGGGTGATCGAGGGCCCCCTGGCAACAAAGGAGAAGAAGGAGCACGAGGACCACAAGGTAAAAATACCAGGCTTCCGTTCTGTTGATTTGGAATTGAAAAAAGTAGGTTTCATATAAAAAAAAAATTTACTAGAAGTGCTTGAAGTTGCTTATTTTAAGTTGGACCCCAGGGTTCCCCTACACTTACAAAAAGAAACAGGGGTTTTAGCAAGGACTGTACATTACTGCCATTACCACTAGTAGGGCGCATCACATGGATGGCGCGGCCACTTAAGTATGTGTTCTAAAGAACTTAAGGTTGTGAGTTTGAATTGCCACTTGGTATTAAATTTTTTTCCAAATTTAAAAAAAAAAATTTGTTTCAATTTTAAAATATTTTAATTTGGTACAAGTGAACATTCTAAATAATAATTAAATTTCTATCTTATTAGCTCTTCCAAAAAACCCAAAATAAGCGTGGAGGAATGCGCGGACCGGTGAGCGGTCGCTTGTGTTTTACACGTGAATGCACATTTAGTAACAAAAATTGAAGATTGTACTTTTAGGAACACTTCAACAATTGTTTTTGATAAGTTACCTTATGTCAAAAGGTATACCATACATGAAGCATGTTTTAAGCTTTATTACAGCATACTTTCTTACATCACTATGTCGAACATTCCGCCACTTTGATTGGATGGGTTACCCAACTGTTTATTATCTAATTTGGTATATTCCAAATATTTTTTCAGGGCTTCGTGGTAACCAAGGTGAAAAAGGTGATATCGGTTTACCAGGTGACAGGGGACCAGCTGGCCCACGTGGAAACCCAGGTGCATCTACTATAGGACCAATAGGTCTTAAGGGTGGCCAAGGTCCACAAGGTGAGAGAGGTGTGCCTGGCAGTCCAGGGCCAATGGGAAGTCCAGGTGAAAATGGACGCTTTGGAGATAAGGGATCAAAGGTGGGTATTCGTAAAATCAAATTCATTTTTGGATACAATCATTACAGCCCTCAAAATTAGGAAAAAGTATGTCGGCAAAAAAAAATTTTAAATCGCCGGCGCTATAAAATTGACGCTGGTTATAACGTCGACAGTTTTTAGTTTCAGCTACAGCTCTGAAATCAACCCATGCTGACCTGTTATAGCAGTGATAGATGTCTTTTCAAGTCACCCAATCAAGCTGAAAAGCCTAGCCTACGTACTAATTGTTGATAAAATGTTGAACAGTATTAATGTTATGATGATGAATAAAATGAAACACTAAAAAAAAAAAAAAAACATACGGTGGAATCTCTGATTGCCCAGAAAGCAGAATTTCATACTAAACCAAACCAAAACCATTCCTATTCTTCCTTTAATAAAATACTTCTGAAAACCGGATCTCTTTATTCTGAATTCCGGACATTTTATTTGGTCTGGAACATAAATTTAATAAAAATCAACTTTTTCCAGACGAAAATAACGCAATAATCATCGCTGTCTGTTAATTAACAGGCCTAGCACACACCATCCTGTGAATGAGCCGTCGTATAGCTAGGTCAGTCCCAATATTGTTGCCATAGAAGTTATCTATTTATTAAAACGACACACCAGTAGGCCTAAACTTTAATGTTAGATAAAGTGAAAGTTATGCTTTCCATTGTTTATAAAGGGAATTATCGCCTTCTGGCCTAATCCTTTAAAAATCGATCGCAACCAACCTGAAATGAAGACGGAACTCAAAGCAAGTTTCTACGACAGCTGACTCTTTTTCAGTAGACGTTTAATTCGGATTTGTTGGATGTTGTAGTAGATTCATCAGTGTAAATTACAAATGCACAGAATTTTCACTCATTCCTCAAAAGCATGTTGCTAATTACGGAGGAAATTTTTAGAGAATGAAATTTACATTTTGCAGATTTATTTAGATTTGACTGTAAAACAAAACCTTATTTATTTTAATAAATCTGTTTAATTAAAAATTAATCGATTTACACTGAGCTTGTTCCTATCTGCAAGCCGTGGGCGATCTGACATCATCACAGCCAAGCACATGTTTGCCCATCCATGACCCCATGAAACAAATTAACCAATTAGCAGGTAGAGTTTTAGGAGTTTACATGAAGAATGTCAGACCGAAAATGCATGTAAAAACAATATAAAAGAATGAAACACACAATCTAGTTTGATTTTATTTACATTTTGCTCATAATACAACATAAAAGACATTAAATAACTTGCTTTCATTAAGAATAAATTTAATATTGTGTTCACGGTGATCATACCGAGTCTACCACCATTGTACTGCCAGTACCAGCGTAGGCCTGGGTTAACTTGGGCTAGGCCCAAAATCTTCACGTCGGCGATTTTTACGTCTGCGTTTGGCGGCTAGACGCCGTCGGCATTGCCGAATGCCGGCGTAATTTTGAGGGCTTGAATTAGCAAAAATGTATCTGCTCTGTATTTTGTTTGTGAGAGAGCAGCTTAGCTCAGTCGGCTAATCTGGTGGTAGCCACTGTGTGTGTGCGCTGAACCGTGGAGATCTCTAGGTCCCCGGTTCAATTCCCATCGCTGCCTCTCCTTGTATTTCAGCTAGAGGGCTGAAATACAAGTTATAATAGCGCACATTCTTTTGGATGAGACGTTTAAGCCGTTGGTCCCGTGTGCATTGATGGCCCATGTGCACGTTTATAAAGAACGTAGTACACTCTTCGGAAAAGAGTAGGGGATTGTCTCCCGGTGTACTGCCCAATCACCACCAGAAGGACCCCACTGGAAATAAGTCTTCTTCTTTCATGGGCTGTCCTTGGTGTTTACACCAATTAAATCCAATCCAATTTAATCCGTTTCTATTAAGGTTTCAATAGGTATACAATGTAGCACATATACATGGTTCCTCAACTTCTACATGAGACTTGTCATTCCAAAACCAGCCTGCTGTCGCTAAATGTTAAACTGAGTAATTAGCATAAGAATGTGACAGTATTGTATACTTTAATACACAGAAAGAATTTTGTGAAATGTAAGTTCATTCCAGTAAATGACCCATCATTTTAAATAATAGTTAGTCTCATTGAAAATTACGTTTTGTGAGCAATCAAATGTTTGCTGAATATTTGTTTACTGGTTTAATCACAAGGTGGTTTCACTTACATATATCTATCTGCCTTCTTTTTTTAGGGAGCTAAAGGAAACGAAGGTCCACCTGGGCCAGAGGGACCAAAGGGATTTCAAGGGCAACCTGGTGCCCCTGGATTGAGGGGAGAACAGGGTCCGACAGGAGAAGCTGGCGCACCTGGTATTAATGGAATACCTGGTAGATCTATCAAAGGTATGTAATGCTTTATTAGCAGTCAGGTATCTAGGGGGTGGGGAGGTGTAGATATAAATCACCTCATATCACCTTATATAGTGAGGTAGTGCTCCCTCACTGAATCAACGAGCCCTCCCTCCCCCCACCTCATTCCACCATCTCTCCTCCCTAACATGCCCCATTTCAACACTCCTAGATATACCAATGTTCAGTAGATATTATTCTTCCTCAGTAGTAGTCCACCAGAATTTGTGCATTCTGAACAATGTATATTGTAATGGTGGGGGAACATACTGTAAATTATAACATTCATGTTGTTTAACACAAGCCATTTTTTAATATAATCTTTAATCTTCAGGAAATATGAACAAATAAAGTTCAAATATTGAATCACAATGGTTTGTACCATTTATTTCGTGGTTCTGTTTCATACTCTCTTATGTCAAATTTTGCAGTGAACCCTATGATGTTAAAGATGAATTTGAAGGCAATATTGTTAATATCAGGGGACCCAAGTTAAAAGAGGCTACTTCCAGAAGATCTGGTTAAATGAGCTTCCATAACACATCTAATTTTATTTTATTTTTATTTTATTTTATTTTATTTCAGTTTATTTTATTTTATTTATTTTTTTTTTTAAATTAATTTTATTTTTTTTTTTAATTTTTTTTTTTTATTAGTCCACCTCACTTGGGGACAATTAAAATAATACAGTAGTAAATGTAAATATAATGAATTTGCAGAATATGAATTTATTTCCGGGAGATTTTAGCTGTCTCGATTTCTGTGAAACTCCTGCAACTCGCGCGAGACCCTTGGTAGTGTTTATGACGACCTCACTAACATAATGAGGATAAGGATGGTGATGTTGATATCATCATTCTGATAATAATAATAATGACAATGATGACAGCGATTAAATAATGCTAATTTTGGCTAAAGCCGGGCATTCATTGTACCTGACGTTCGTTAGCTGACGCGCAACGGATCGTTTTTAATGATGGTCTGTTAAGACTGCCAGCCACAATGAGCAGATGTGGTCACGTCGTCTAGACTCCCAGAGACTTGCCTTACGAACATCATGCGATACAGTGAGTGTCCGTCTTTACTGCACGGTTGTACTCATGTTTATTTCCATTTTACAGGTGAAAAAGGTGAAGTTAGCATTTGCGTTGATGGTGCACCTGGCGAAAGTATACCAGGAGATAGAGGTTTGACAGGCATACGAGGAATTAAAGGGGACGATGGTAGGTCACGATAGCCTTTCATTTTTTAAAATCGTCATTTTTCATGAGATCAAATTAATCAATCAATAAATATTTTTGTAATTTATTTTTGTTTTATTACTCCCAATTATTTTTTTTTACTTTTGAATGTTGGCCTTTTGTAAATTGAATAAATTTAAGAATGTATTATTTGTCTGCCTAACCCTAATGTTTTTTTTTTTATATGTATATGTTTTAAGTGTGTGAATGAAATAAATAAATAAAGAAAACTATTAATCAACTTTTATTTCGGATGTACATATTCATATAAAAATATAAATACGATACGATACAATGAAAAGTTTATTGTCACAATGGTATAAAATACAGCTATGAGATATGGTTCCTTAATCATATTGGTAGAACAATATAGAAATATAATTAAATACATACAAGTTTCACAACAAAAACTGTAAAATTTTAAAAATACAAGATGCTAAAAGTTATTAAAACTGTCAACCAAATCCTAATATTACAAGGATTACTGAGTTGTAGGGGAAAGGGATCATGGTTTACTCATTAAATTGCATGTTAAAGAGTCTGAATGCTGATTTAATGAATGAATTTTTAAACCGATTAATCTTTACTTTAGGGTGAATTATTCTACCAGATTTACAAAAATGGGCCATGTTGTGGAAAAATGGCTACTGTAAGTTGTAGCAAAAATTTAAATTTAGTTATTGGTATTTTCATATACTTGTGTATGTGCAAGCTCTAAAATGAGGGTCATTCATTGAAATTGAACTTACAATCCTTAGTTATTGTGGAGTGAAAGTACAGCATACCAGGAGTCAGGATTAAGATGATTTTGAGTAATGGCCTTTAAATTTTTCATTAGCTAACAAAAAGATGTGTAGTATTACCATTTTGTTGAGATTTTGAGATCAATTAGATACGAGTCTCTTGATTTACAGTGAAAGAAACTTGCTGATTTCTAGGACATTTTTTGGAGCTCCCAATATTTTAGGAAGCTCATTCTACTCAACATATGCCTGTGCGGCAACTTAGTCACTCTTAGCCTGAAATTGTTTTCCTTTGTTGAATCATTTTTTGTGACAAATTTATGTGATGTGCCCTTTAGGGGAACAATTTGGTTTCCCAACCTTGAGGTAGGGATTTCAATCCTTCGCTGTGGATTTCACTTGTGTCCTTGAGCAAGGCACTTTATCTGCATTGCTTCTCTCCACCCAGGAGTATAAATGGGTACCTGGTGGGGTTGCCTGCTCCAGCACTGATTACCAGCAGCAACAGTGACCAGGGAAAAGAATTGCACTTTATAACCTCATGGAAGAGGCACATTATGCATGCCTATACCTGTACCAATTTACATCATATAATTGTATTACATTGAAAAATAAGTTACAATGTGAAATAACATCAAATATTCATTTCATAAATTCATAATAATTCATTTCATAAATTTTATGAATGAATTATTTACATTATGAAATAGGTTATTTACTATAACAATATATTAAGTACAATACAATACAATATATAACAATTATATTAAGTACTTCAATGTATTCAAGAGGTAAATATGTTAATATACATCATGAATACTCAACTCCATTGTGAAATAAATAAAGCACAGTAATGTTATATGATTGAGAAAAACATACTGATTTCTACCCCAGATTATAGAGTAGTGCGTTGTTGCGTCACGATACTATGTGATACTATTCCAATGCTATCGGGGACCAAAAATTTGCTCAACCCGATCCATTGTCTCCACTGACAAACCATTGATCCTAATTTTTAATGTAATTATTATGATGTTGTATCTTAATTTTTCTTTTGTAAATTTTAATTGATGATTAAATATGTGTTCGATAACTAGTATAATCTGAGCCTTTGTGTTTTTAGTACATTTTGATGGTAAATTATTAGGTTTTAAAATGCGTATTCCAGAAAGCCTATTCCAAACCATTAGGATTATGAAATCATTCAGGCGTAATGACAGCTTATTAACGCCTGGTTGACAACAAAGGGCGCCACTTTGTGTTGTGACGACATTTGCGTAGTATTCTATAGTTTAGTAACTAATGAGGTTTTACTGCTATTGCATCTTGGGTTTCCCATTAGGACCTAATATTCTTAAAGTATTGCATGATGCAATTGACAGATAAATAAAATGTATAAAATTTGGTATGGAATTACTTCTTCATGTGCATAATTAATAGGTAATTAAATATTATTTGATTATTTACACTAAGAAATTTATTAATTACATAGTAAAATTATCAATTACATTGTGAAATGAACTATATCACAATCAATTAATGATTACGCTTTCGTTAAGTCCCATAATGTGTATTACTTTATAATTATTATTATTATTTTTTTTTATTTAAAACATCTTGAGCAGAACTTTTGTCGTGATTTCTTCAAAAGTAGAATGACTATAAAAATATAATAAAGGAACAATTTTGAACTTCATTTTCATTTATAGTGAACTGTATAAATCTAATATTATCTTTAACAGGAGCTCAAGGTGCACCAGGACAAAAGGGTGAGACAGGTGCCCCAGGTCTAAGTAGCCAAAAGGGAGATCCCGGACCACGGGGCATTCCAGGGGCGAAAGGGTTCCCTGGGCGATCAGGTACAAATGGCATACCAGGTGTTAAAGGCTCCCAAGGATCAAAAGGTGAATATACAACCATTTTGTGAATATTAAGCAAGTTATTAGTTAATTCACACTGTCATTTCAAAACCATCATCAGGGACCAAGACAAAACAATTGAGTTTTTAATATATTCATTTACTGGAATCAACTTGCTGTTGCCAAGTTATGAGTAGATGTCTTATGGCTTCTCTATACTAAATTATCAATACTGCCACCTTCTCATGCTAATTACACAGTTAACATTTATTTTTGTGATGTCAAGCCTCATTTATCAACTAATACTATCATTATCAAGTTAAACTTAATTATTATATAATTAAAATTTTATAATGAAATTTGTTTTTGAAAATTGTATTCTAAAGGTGATAAAGGTTCCATCGGTCCTGCTGGTCTGAAGGGCAGTATGGGATCTTCAGGGCGAATAGGAACTGACGGACCACCTGGACAAAAAGGTATTTGCTGCTTGGAAATAAACTCATTTTATTGGTTACTACTCTATAATCTTGATCTGTTGAAATAATGGTCGGCAGTTCGCATGTTATACTGACTGTCCTCAGCTGGCCATGTCCAAACACTTCAGCTGGTATTTTTGACAGAGTATTTTGTGGCTTGTAAATAAAATAAATATTGTGGCCGTTTATCAACATTATCAATGTAACATCAAGCCTGCTATACTAAGAAGAAGAAAAAACCTTTTCAAAGCTCATACACTGAATGTAGATAATTAATTCCGTGTTAATTATTAAGGGGATTTGTTTTAATTTGCTAATCAACCTTTAACCCTTAACCTTTATTCTAGTTAAACTGCAACTCAGAAATACAGAAATGGTGCACTGATGGAGGATAGTTCTACCTTGTAAAATAGTTTAAGCCATTACAATCACGATATATTTCCAAGCCCGAAACCTTGAGTGGATGATGTCTGGCGGAGGATATTTATTACCTGATAGCATTATCTATTTATTATTTCTGTTTATTTACGTGTGAACCCTTGCAATTGTATTGCAACGTAAAATATTTTACAGATGACAAATACATTGATCCTGAATAGTTAATATATAGGCGGCTATCTTGACATAAAATATTCTGCTTTCCTCTTTTTATATAAAATGTTTTGTTTATATATATTTTTTTAAAGTTTATATTCAATAAAGATAGTGTATCTTTATTTATTGATTTTTTTACAACTTTGTTTTGTTTCTGTGTAGGAGCGAAGGGTAACATTGGAATGCCGGGAAATAATGGTCTTCCTGGATCGAAAGGTCAAGTTGGGCCTAAAGGATCAAACGGCATCCCAGGAGCGCCTGGATTTACCGGAAGTCCAGGAGAAAAAGGAGACAGAGGAGAAAGAGGAGTTAGTGGTCCCCCTGGTATGATACTTTTTATATTATTTTCATAATTACAAAATCAAATCATCTTCAATTTTTGCTGCGAAGCAGCCAATTCATATTCTTGACAGCAATTTGACCTCTGAAAGGTCATTGTTTGTCAAAAAACAAGGGCCTAAGACGACTGAAAAGCGGAGTTTCCTTCTTTCGTTCTGTCGGATAAAATCAATTACTTTAGGCGACGTTTGTAGACTAACCAACATGTACCAACGTCCGCATGTCGTGCTAGCCTTATCCTACTCTAGGCCTAGACTAG